ACTATTACAGCCGCTTCATTGAGGACTTCGCAGTCTATACCGCGATCTTGTACGAGCTGCGGGAAGCACACTTCCATGAGATCGCTAGGATGGACGCAGAGGAGACGCAGGCCGAGGATAGTCAATTGACTGGGGGCGAGCGCGATAGGTGGGCGAGGGCGAAGAACGCTTTCACTATGCTGAAGGCGAAGATCATTGCAACACCGGTCCTGAAGCACTTCGACCCGGAACGTACTCCAGTTGTTGTGCTCTACGCGAGCAAGTGGGCCATATCTGCAGCATTGATGCAGGAGCACGAAGGTGTGTACCATCCGGTGACTCTCACTAGTCGCACGTTGAAGGCAAACGAGCTCAACTATGGAGTGGTGGACAAGGAGGTATTGCCGCTTTTGCGAATCTTGGACGTCTGTTACTCGCAGCTGGTTACCAGATGGATCAAGGTCTTGTCACGATTCTCGGCATTGGCCTGTTTGCTCAAGTCGAACGGGTTCGACGGCCGACTGGGTAGGTGGGCAGCGCTGCTATCAGGGTGGACGTTGGAAGTCACCAAATGTGTGAAGGGTGAAGACGAAATCCTTGGAACAATCGCAGCTAGCATCACTCCCCGAGCTGATGTCGACGAAGCCCTAGTCGCGATAGCACCCAAGAAACAGCCACGGAAAATGATCACCATGCCTTCACCAACGATCGAACCAGAAGAGAACCTCTGGGTGGTGAGTTTCGACGGGTCTACGCGGGTGAAACGCAGCGGCGATGCGTATAGTGCAGTCGTGTGGAAACTCCCGGAGTGGACGGTGGTGGAAGCCATGTCGGAGTACATGCCGGACTTGACAGTGAACGAGGCGGAATATCGTGGACTGATTTTTGGTTTTGATTTGCTCTCGACCTTGGCCAGGGGGCGCGTCGTAATTTGTGGAGACTTGAACTTGGTTATTCGTCAGATGCAGGGTGAGATGGACTGCAAAGCACCAGGACTGCAACGGCTCCGACAGAAGGCGTTGAACCGGCTACGGTCGTGGCCGAAGCACGAGTTCCTTCACGTGCAGCGTGAATGGAATCGGAGTGCGGACAAGTTGGCAAGTGCTTCACTGCAACGAGAAGAAGGCGAAATAGTCACCTCAGAAGACGATCGCCAGGACTTGATCACCCTCAACCGACTGACGTAATGCTGAAGCCAAAGTTGATCGAGACAGTCGTCAGCGTAAACGCAATCACGCGAGCCGCTGAGAGACAACGACGCACACCGAAAGCGATGGAAGAATCTATCATACAGCGCATACGGTGTCAGAGGATTAGGCGAGCTCAGGATGAAGAGAAGTGGATTGCAGATCTGAAGAAATACCTGGACGGGGAAGTGAGTGTCTTGACAGCAGAAGAGGCGAAAGCATGCTCGAAGATAGCCGCGAATTACGAAGTAGACGAGAACGGGCTACTCTTCTTTTGCCCCAAGACACTGCAACGAGGCGAAGACCGCAACGGTGTCGTCAGGATGGTGATACCCGACAGCTTACAGCGAGACTTCCTTCACCATTATCATGGTAGTTCTGAGGGAGGCCATCAAGGCGTCGGGAGGAAGTAACGGAGGATCCAAGCAAACTTTCACTGGCGTGGGCTGTATCGCAGTGTACAACATTACGTGGGGGAATGCACCGATTGCGAAACCGGGAAGGGAAACCAACGGGCCAGGCAATTCGCCAGGAAATATCCAGGGTACATATTCCTTCCAGGTGATCTCCATGGACCACATTCCGTCGTTGCCAAAGTCGTTCAAAAGAAACACCGAACTGCTGATTTGGGCCGACCTGTTCACCGGTTACGTAATAGCCAAAGCTGGTCCGTCGCGGGAGGCGCATGCAGTGGCTGAGAATTAGGAGGAATGCTTCTTCCGTCGTTTTGGCGCAAGCGAAGTCATCAGACATGACCGGGAGCCTGGCTTTATGTCGGACTTCTTCCGCGCCTTCGACTGGATCGTGAAAATGAGACAGCGCGCGACAATGGCTTACCGCCCACAAGGGAACGGCAAGGCCGAGCGAACGGCGCAAACTCTGACACGAGCCCTGAAGATGTACGTCGCAGACGTCAACCAACAAGACTGGGACGACTATGCAGAGCGGCTGACATTTGCGTTGAATACGGCACATGATCGAGTGAGGGGGAGAAACGTCGTTCTTCCTAGTCCTTGGATGGGACCCGCGGTCGACACTTGAAGCTGTTGTTTCGGTTGGATCGACACGCCGCCGCGATTGCGATACACGGAGGTGGAGGTACCACATACAGGGACAATACCGTAGGGCCAGGGAAGCAGTCAACGATAATCTACGCGATGCGATCAAGTCTAGGGCTGATCAACACAACGAGAACGTTAGACCACACCGGATTGAGGAAGACACACAGGTATGGCTTTACCTAGATCGCGTAAAGGAAGGCTACGCTCGCAAGCTCGCACACATGTGGCATGGACCGTTTCGCGTAACCGAGCTGATCGGCAATCACGCAGCTCGTCTCGAGACTGCAGGCTCAGGGTATCGAATCTTCCCGATAGTACACCTGTCGAAGCTGAAGCCAATGCGAACATTCCCTGATCGGCCAAAGGTTGTGTTGAACACCGAACATGACGATCGGGTAGACTTCGACGAAGAACTGCTGCCTGACGGTAGCTGGGACACTCCGCTGGACGAAGACGAATTCGAGGTGGAACGGATCGTGGACGTACGGTAAGGGAGACGCACCGGATATGGGCGTGTGCACCGAGAATTCCAGGTCTATTGGAAGGGCTATGACCAGCCGACATGGGTGGATGAAGCCGACCTCAGTTGTGCCGCTCTGTTGTACGAGTATGAGCGCGGACATAACAGCCGCAACCGCTTCAACGTGACGCAATCACACGAAGAAGGGATGAACGTTGAGTAAGTGACCGACGGGCGGAGGTAGTGTGTTAGGTGGCCACACACTGGCTGGATAGGTATTTGTATGATGCGTAAAGACACCTGGCAACGACCGGGACAAGAGAAGGGAACATCGAAAGTTAGAAGTGAAGCTCAAGTGATGGATGGCATTACGTATACAGATAAATGGATCGAGATTGGATGATCGAGATCGATGATCGAGACTGGATGATCGAGATGGATGATCGAGACTGGATGATCGAGGATCGAGGATCGAGATGGATGATCAAGATCGATGATCGAGATGGATGATCGAGACTGGATGATCGAGATCGAGGATCGAGATGGGTGATCGTAACCAATGATCGGAATCGAAGATCGAGGTCTACGACCGTAAGTGATGATCGAGCCGACGGTCGAAGAACCAGAAAACAGAATCCAGACATGGAGGCGAAGAGCTGAAGCATAGAGCTGACAACCGCGCAAAACGTGTGGCCACTGCCGTGTAAGACGATGCGCAACAGAAGTGTCGAGGGCAAGAAACAGTGAAGGAAGTAAAGCTTCATCGATGCGGTCAGCCAGACGTTGACACGAGAACATGTGCAACTGCAAAAGCAAGAGAGGTTAGCCTCGAAGCAAAGAAGGAACTAGCGCAACGCACATGGTACGAACAAGGTCAAAACAAGTGTGGTTGAGAGACGCAGGGCGCCGACTATGTGGATCAGCTTCCCGGACACTGAAGCTACTCCTGATGGATGAACTTGCCCTCAAGACGGGAAGCTGGTAACCGGGGTGATCCTCAATAGGGTGACGGTACTGGTTGCGCCAGGGGTCTTGGCGGTCAGCGTCACGAAGAGCTTGAAACAGGTTCGCGGGTCGTGGAGTGTAGTGTAACCAGGATACCATTTCGAGCGCTCGCCAGGGCGTGGAAAATGGAGGAAGACAGGATCCAGGAGAATGTCAAGGTCGCAGTGTCCAGCCACGATGCTTAGCAACACGAACTTAAGGAAGTTTTTCCAGGCAGCACCAAAACGCGACCGGCGCTGCATGCGCTCCGCGTAGAGGATTGTGAAGTACTTTACGGCCCGTCGTAAATCTTCCGAGATGGGTAAGGAATGGGTGGACTCCCACGTCGCCTGGCGATGTTTCGTCTGCAACCCTTCTAATTTCCGCGACAAAGTCTGGAAAGGAGGACTGTCCCTCTCGAAGGAGATGGGCGTCACTGGCTTCGCAAGAACTCCCCATGGTGTGGAGGCGTAAACTGCCGAAACCTTGCCCTCTTCCAAGAGTGCAGCGTCCTAATCGGAGTCGTCAGGCACTGGCTCTGGCTTCGGAAATAGCCAGTTAGGAGGCTTAGAGAAACGGCTGAACAGCATCGCAACGTCAAGTTCAAGGACGCTGATTTGCGAGACGTCCAACAGGGGCCAGGGAGCTGCGTCAACCACAGAAAAGATGACACGAGTGCGATAGCCTGGAACCCAGTGAGCGCGGTCAACGCAGGTCGGAGGCAACTTGGCATAGGCGGCAGGAGTCAGCAGCTCGTTGCGAGACACCAACTTGGAGGCACTACTGGCATCGACTGCGGCAGGACCACGGACACTGCCACCACGAACGGGCGTCCTGACTTGCTCGGCACCAGCGTTACCATCATCCGCGTGTTCTGCGTCTAATTCGATCGGACGATCACGCGCGGTACCAGCGAGGTCAGACGGAGCAGGAGGAGGCGACGAAGTGCGGTGACCCGATAGGGCGTGCATCATGGAGTCGTCACTTCCCGAGTCGGCATCACGGAGATGATCAGCGAGGTCGGCCCGAGCGTCGCCACGTCGGAGACGATTTAAGGACGGACCGGAAGGTGACTGGCCGACGCCATCATGACCGGATGGCCGTAAACCGCGGAGGTACTGGCGCCGTGACGTCCCGGAGAATCTGCACCGACAGACGCGTCAACTTGGACACCGGAGAGATCGAGCTCCGAAGGAAGGTCGTTGGAGCGAGGGGAATCGTGCCGAGGCTTGGAGCGTGGAGGAGGTGAGGCGTCGCCAGGATCATGAACGGAACGATGTTTGCGGCTGGCTCCAACCTGAGGGCAATCACGCACGGAAGACGGATTGACGGCAGGAACATCAGCCCGCACGAAGAGCGACCGGAGCAGGCTTCACCAAGGAGATTAAACCTGCTACTTGAGACCGCAGGACGAGTAGATAGGCAGAAACTTGGTCGCTTCTTCCTCAGCAACATGACAGGCCGTTTCGGTCTCCAAGACGCGGAGGCTTAACGCACCGTTCTTGCGGGAGAAGCCCTCCACCTTCCGCTGAAGGACGCCAACTTGAACTTGGAGAGTTTGGAATTCCTCTTGATCGACGCGTGTCGCATCGGCGTCCTGCTCCAACCGAACGACGTCGCCGTGGAGAGAGGCCGCCCGCAACCCTATGACAAAGGATCAAGATTAGCAAAAGCACAAAGGTGGACCAGTGGCAAACGTACCAAAAAATTGAGAAGCAGCGACGGCTTTGTCTCGAGCAGTGGTGATCTCGTCCAGTTCAGAGGTGAGGCGACGGGTAGCAGCCTCAGCAACAGCAGCCGCGTCGCTGAACCGGTCCCGCTCTTCACAGGCACGCTGGTGACGAGATTGCGCACGACCAAGCCGAGACTCCAACTTGCTCACGTGACGTTGGAGGTGGGCTTGAGAGTCCTCCAGCTTCTTCAGATGAGCTTCGTGTGCGCGGATTGTGTTCTCGGTGCTGTGGATAGCGACGCCCTGAGTGCGAAAGGCGTCGCGAGCGTTGCGAAGGTCGACCCGTAGTTGATCACACTCGCGGTGAAGAACAGCAAAGCGGCGACGGCAGGAGAAGACTGAGTCGCAACGGCTCGAGAAGCGCTCAGTCGCGTCCCCAAGGCATCGATCTCCCGATGAAGACGTTTCAGCTCCTCGATGTGGTCGCTGAGAGTCGTCTGCAAGCGAGATCGTACGTTCAAGAGCTCCGCTGAATCGTCACGACGATCTTGCAACTCGTTCAACGCCTCGACAAGGTCCGCCTGGGCCCGATTACGCTCGTTGAGCACAATGGAGTACTTGTGCTCAACGAATTCGACGAAGGGACGAGCAGCGGCGAAGTTGTCGTTTATTTCCTGCTCCAGCGCATGCACCCGAGCTCGCATATCGCGACAGACCAGCTGCAGAGCGTGGTGGTCTTCGACCAGAGACTCCAATGCGTCGGCATGGTCTACCACGGCCGCGATATCATCCAATGTACCGCGGACGGAAGCTAGGTTCAGCG